CAATGCTAAGCAATATCATAATTAATACGCGTATACGTGCGACGCGTGTGCGATAGTTATCCATCCCACTGCAGGGAATACGTCGCGATGCTTTCGAATCGCGACACGGAGCGTTCGGGTCATTCCGTAACGCGCCGCTCGGACGAGCGGCGCAAAAAGGACTAAAAACGAAGGTGAAGTTCCTGCGGGAGGTCGGATCGAGTAATCAGTTTTAATTAAGCGTACCCTTCGCCCGGGAGTTAACGAGGGTAGTTACTCGTTAGTCCGAGATACCGTGCGATTCGCCTGCTTGAAAAAAAGGGAAAAAAGAGCCGGGCGAGATCCGATCTCGGGTCGGCGGAAAAAAGAGTTATACTCGCGTCATTAATTTCGTAAGTATTACGTAACGGCGACTATCTCAAGGACACTGTATCGCCGTATCGACAAAGTAAATCGTTGCATTTGTAAAAATTACGACGTCGCGACGATGGCCGCTTCGACAATCACCTGACGAGTGATGAGTGATAGAAACAATTAGCCGGACAGCGTGTTTTATTCAACGAAACATTCTTTTTTGCACTAAAATTACGAAATATGTAATTTATTTTCATTTCAAATTGTTTAAAAAATCCCCTCCCCCAGCCAATTAATTATCTCAGTTAAAATTCGCCGGCCGCTAAAAATGTCACAAAACGGCGCTCGCGCGGAAATACCGGCTGCTCTCGTCATCCCGTAACATCCGTTAACGAAACGCGGAACGAAATTCTCCGCGGTACCCCCCGCGTCGCCAACACCCCTCTCTCTCTCTCTCATTGCGGCGCGGAGGTATTCATGGGACCGACGGCGCGTAATTTTTCCAGGGGGTAACCTACGGGGCGGCGGCGGCGCGGCGCAGGCAGGACGAGAAGGAGGGGACGGCGAGATCGAAGGGACGATGAGGGGTGGAGAGTGGCCGCTTTAAGTACAGATAATGGGTGGTGTTTACCGCCGCGATGATCGGCACGATTTCAGGGTGGCCCGGCATGAAGCGGCCGATGGGACCCCAAATAAATTAAATTATCATGATAAAGGCCCCCCCTGGCCTCCGCGCCCCGGCGGTACCGCCGGAATATAAGAGCGCGAATGGTGATTGTCCACTCGATAAAGTCGCCCTCGGTGTTTACTGACATCTGTCACGGTTTGCGCATTTCCCGTTGGCGATCGACGCGCGGCGCGCCAAATGATTAATTTAGCGGGACGCGCTGCATCATTCACCGCGTGTCAACGTGAAAGTGCGCCGATCCACGTGCGAACGTGCGAGTGCTTCGAGGAGAATCGTGGAAATTAATTACGGGACGATCAATCGCGGAGACAAGCGCCCGAAGCGTGCATGTAACGTACTCGAGAAACTGCGCTCGACTACAACACGCATCGTCCCCGCATCGTCCCCGTCTGTAATTCCGGGAGAAAACTGATAATTTCATGAGCGAAGAGAACAAACAAAATACGTGCTGCGATAAATACTCCTGGTATTGATCGCTCAGCTCTTCCGCGATTTCTATCACCTTAGCTGCTGTCGCTATCGATAGCCGCCGTTCGTGTTATTTTTCCGGCCGAGAGTTCCTCGTCTTTATCAACCTCGCGATCGCACCACTGCGTCGGCCGATCGCGCATTTGTTTATTCGGGGGGAAGGGGGGTTGTTTGCAGTTAGTTAGCGCCGTAGTTAACGCTACGGCCTTACTCCGGGGGGTACGCGCCGTATGTCAGTTGCCAACCCCCCCTCGATCGCGGTGGATTTCTTCGGTGCGGCTGCGACATGCCCCGTCGATTAATGCGCCCGAAGGCTCAATGAATAATTATCGCGACTGCGTCGGCTAATTCGCCGACGAAGGGTGCGGGAATTTATGGCGGTTATTTGTCTGGTAGCGCTACTCGCTCTCCTTGGACTCTCGACCAACGGTGATAGCAAGTGGCCGAGGTCGATCGACGGCGTTTCGCGGATTGCACCTCCACGCCGGCCAATTCCGGCAAATACGGGCGAATTAACGATCTTTTGTGCGACCGCACAGTGAATAAGGAATTTTGCTGCGCGAGAGATGTTACTTATTGTTCCGAAAAATCCGTGGGAATCGTTGGTCTGGGTAAAAAGTAGCGCGTACCGCAAGATTTCTCGCGAATTTCGATATTCAGCTACACTAGGAAACACTAGGAAAAATGTATTGTTGCGTGAACCAAAATTTTGTTGTAACAACAAAATAATTTGGTTAAAATATGCCCAACAAAACTGTTTAGTTCCTGTAAACAAATATTTCGTTCGATTACGGTTTGTCCGTATAACGTAATACCTTTGTTGTATAGCAACCAAAAAGCATTTAATATATGAATTTTGTAAAAAATAAAATATAATTTTTTCTTAATATATAAAATCTAAATTTTAGTGCATAGAAAGACAAAATAGTATCCATTGGGCATTATTTTAGTTTATGTAAAATAATATTTCGTTATTATGTAATTTTTATGGATAAAATAACTAAAATGCTTAATTTTTATATATAAAGTCTAAGAACAAAATCATTTGGTCCAGAGAACAAAGCAGAAAAACATATTTAGTTGAGACAACTAAATATTTTGTTATATAAAACAAGATATTTCGTTGCTATTAGAAAATGCCTCAACTAAACAGTTTTGTCAGGGATACTAAATTTTTTTCCTAGTGTAGCCACGTGAAAGAGAGGATGTGACGCAGTGGATATCAATTTAATTGCCGGCACATCATCGTTACTTGCCAAAATTAATTATCGCATATTGAAATATAAGGAGCAAACGGGGCCGCCTTATCTCGAACCGGACTTCTTGAACTTTCGATCGGCTTGACCGACAATGATCATAGATTAGAATTTATAATATAATACTATAGTGTGTTATGAATCGCGTGTGGCAATCGTAGAGTTAATTAAACGCGAAGTGACTTTATGTCGACTATTAGCGCTCGCGCGATGCGTGCGATATAGATCGGCCCGCGCTGAAATTCGCGCGACGACGAAATGCGGCATAATAATAGCGTTGCGACAGGCGACGTGTGTCACGAGGATCTGATGGGCGGCGCACGAATTCACGGTGCCGCCGACGATGAAATTGAAAAAAGGGACATAAAAATAAATCATGACGGGACGAGGAGCGGGAGGGACGAGCGCGCGGTAGCGCGGGCGCAATGGCGCAAATAATAATTGTCACGAATCAGCGGGGAGGGAAATCATCGGTCAGGCCATATGTGCCCAGCAGGGGGCCAACTCCTCCTCTTCGGCCAACGATAAATAACCCAATAAATGCTAACAGTCTAAATACTAACAACTATCAAATGTAGTCCCTCGCGCGTGCACGACGCGCGCTCCCACTGACAATCGTCGAAAGTGCCCCCGCACGCGTATCCATTTTTCGTCACCCGTAACGAGATGAGAATTATCAAGCGACAAATTCGACAATTTCGTGCGTCACAAATCCAAAACGGGAGACGAAATTCACAGGGGCGGAGAAAATTTGGGGAAATTCTCGGGAAAGTCATTTCGTCACGCTCGAATATCTCGTGCGAGGTAAAGAAAATTCTCCTGCGCCAATGCATTTCTGTATTATCATTAGTTTTGCAATATACATATACTTACATTGCATACATTGCACAGATATACATATAGTATACAATTTTAATTTTATTTTGTATCTTTATTCAACACGTAGACTATGTTATTAATGGAAATAAAAATTCAAAAGTTAATAATCCGTATGCGTATGATTTTGAGGCATGCGTTTGCGTCAAATGCGAATGCATCCGAGCACATACGCGCGTCGCGCCGAGACTTATTTGTGTATCGGGCGTGAAATCGGCCGGTCCTATATCAAAATACACGGGTCCCTTCTTCGAGGGTGAGCGAGAGATCGCGTACCTGCTCGTACGCGGCTTAGTGAATCACGCGCGCTCCGACCGACGGTAATCCGAATGCGCTCGACTAAACGCCGCCATGTGTACAAACACTGACAGCCGGTCACGCACTTGCTAGTTAAGTTACGAGGGTGCTTAAGCCAGTGACGCAAGGCCCACCCCGCTAATCGTGGAAACCGTGGACACGGCGCGCGCGGCGACAACAAAAACACGTGGCGTCGCGGCGACGTGAATAATTTCGACATCGCGGACCAAGTGGCGGACCGTCCATGCGAGCACTTGAGCTTTCTATGATATTTTGATGCTATTGTATTTTAGCAGCCTCTCTCCGTCCCGTGCGATTCACCGTGAACCTCCCCTAAAATGTGCCAATCATTTTCTTCGCGCATTATTTACAATAAGACACGTTGAGAGAAATAGTCGCGCGATATTTGGTGATTGCAGCGATTAAGGACAGGATTTGAAAAATCGCATAATTTGCAAGATCCACGTTGTAATTTTGCAGTGAAACATATACTACTTTTATGACGCAACCGCGTCTCCACTGTTCATTCGATCCAGCGCAATTTGTACGCAACAATAGGGTACAACGATATTGCAACATTCTTTATCGTCGTGATAATTCGTCAGATTCTGTTTCGTCCTACGCCTATGCCGCTATAAGTCGGCGATTCTCCCCTGACCAAGAGTCATTCACGGGGCTAATTGCAGGGGCGGCTTTCCGCCCTATCGTCTAACCCCAAATCATCCCCCGTAATCCATAGGGATTTACACTCGCGATAATTGCATTAGCATTCGATGATTTTTATTGGATCGCCCGGCTCGTAATAACGAATCATTTTCGCTCTCCGAGCTGTTTACTCCCGACTAAAATCGCGTTCGTTTGCGACTCTTTTGCAGATGGGGGGGGACGGGGCGGGGCACGCGTGTAAATCCGATAAAAAAAATTTGCCGAACGAAAATATCCGTTGTAGCAAGACGAGCTGACATTCGCTGAGATATTCATACCGTTTCGAGAATGACTTTTTTATTCAAAGGCACGTCGTAGTTCCTGGCCGCGTCGTAATCGCAAATGTTCTCAAAGGGATTTTTTCTTTCTGATAACAGGTTGCGCGGCACAGCACGCGTTGCTAGGCAAGACCAGAAGGCCCAGGACTGCGTTCACGTCCCAGCAGCTTCTTGAGCTGGAGAAACAATTTCGACAGAACAAGTACCTCAGCAGACCGAAGAGGTTCGAAGTCGCGACGTCGTTGATGCTAACGGAAACGCAGGTAAAAACGGAGATAATGATGTTGAATCACGCATTAACTCTCACGATCCGTTATCCGAAATTCACTGACGGCCATGAGCCCGTGAGTCATTCCGCGCGTGATAAGCGTCGCGATTAACGATTTTTATTACTCACCCGTCTGAGCGGGAAAAGAACACGACGCGCCACAACGCGAGTCATTTATGTAACTAAAAGCTCGCAATAAAATGTAAAATAAAACGTAAGCGTTCGCTTACTACACGACTCTTTGTCCTTCTCTACAAAAAGAGAGAGTCCGGGGGAAATTCGAGAAAGTAATGGGACGCGGAGTGAGTCGCCGATCGTCAACGAGTTGCGACCGAACGTAACGCGTTCTAATTAATCGAGCCGCAGGAAGCGCGCTCGTCGAGCAATCACACGCTAAACACTACGAAAACCGAGGCGGAATCGCTCGCGGAGGAGCATTAAGGAGCACTGGATCGATCGTTCCACACGGCTCGAGTCGTCGTCAGAGTTCGCGTCGAGAGTTAACGTCGAGAGCTGGTCCCGATGAGGAGTTGAGCGACGACAGCCGGTAAATAGCGCGAAAATGGAAATTCGCGAGGTCGCGCGGCGGAAAGAGTGGAGGGGGAGGGAGGATGCAGGGAATGAGTGAACGTTGCGAGGGGGGAAAAAGAGCCTCAAAAGAGAGAAAATCCCTCCGAGTAATCCGAACTCACCCTTCCATCCGACGTCGTGCACGCGAATCTCCTCTCCCCCCCTCCCCCCCTCTCTCTCTCTCTCTCTCCTCTCGCATAGTTCAACAACTTAAACATAACTCCGAAGCTTACGAGCCCTGACGGATCGCTCGGCAAACAGACGTGAAAGTCTGAGTTATGGCGGGCTCAGTCGCTGATTTGTTTCGATATTTTACCGATTCCGCCTCGCTCCTCGCCTCCGACCTCGGCCTTTCAACGTCGGCGTCGTTCTCCTCCTCCTTCCCGCCTCCTGTTTCCCCATTTCCGTCTGAGTTCCGCGCTTGCAGAAACGCGATTACCGGCGATTTACCGTCCGAGCTCGAGCAGCACGACATGTCGCGACGACGGCACGGCGAGAAGCGGACGTTTGTTTAAAAAACAGCCGATGCTCGCATGCATCCTAAGGACACGAGTCCTTCGCCTTTTTTTTCTTCTCCTCCTTTTCTTTTTCTCTGTGTTATAACTTTCATCGTTACCGAGTATTTCTTGACTTTCCTCTCTCTCTCTCTCTCTCTCTCTCTCCCCCTTCATGTTACAAGAATTAAACCGCCTTTTTTATGAGCACCATATAATCCAAATAATTTTAAGGAGAATGTTACCGTCGGGTTCACCGTTGCAAGTCGCAGTGCAAATTCACAAAATTCACCAGTGCAACTATCTCGCTCTCGAAAAATCGAGTACGAAATTTTTCGCTGTTCGCTATACGTTCCTTCATGCGTTTCACACTATTGTTCTTTTCGTAACGAGCGGTCGGATGTTTAATTTGCGACGCAATTTTGACTATGCCGGCTGGATCACTTAACTAATTACAAAGACGCTATGATGAAGATATCGCGATGCGATCATCACGAAATCGCAACTCACGATTGTAATCGTAATAATAAAGTAATAATAAAGCGGTAATAACACATGGCCGATCGCTAGCGGGAGGAAAAGTATCTTCATATCTTCAGCAATTAACGCAGTCGCGATCGCATCGGCGGAGAACACCTCGATATCCCATGATTCATCGTTGTTCGGTTTCCCCACGTACAAGGTGTCGATTAATTTCGGCTCGCGAGATAATTTACAGCGCCGATCTGTTTTCTCTGCTCGTCTCTATCTCTCTCTCTCTCTCTCTCTCTCTCTCTCTCTCTCTCTCTCTCTCTCTCTCTCTCTCTCTCTCTCTCTCTCTCTCTCTCTCTCTCTCTCTCTCTTTCTCTCCATCTCTCTTTCTCTCACTCCCACCTATTGTCACTCGTTCGTTCCGCTCTTCATCGCGTCGGTTTATCACCGACAAATATTTATTTTCGTACGTTGCTTTTTTTCCCACCTTCGATCCATTTTTTTCGACTGACTCGCTCACTCGCGCATACAATTCGCGCCTTCGCCCAATCCGTCCCCCTTCCTTACCCCCGAATTCAACCCCCGTGCTTGTTTACCTCACATTCCGAATTATTTGTTAACGCGACGCGAATGATTTACGTAAGTTGTCGTCGCAATGTTTCGCCTATCGAATTATCCAGCTGATCGAAAAGCGATGGTGACTGTTATTCTTTTTCGCGAACCGAAAAAAGCATGGACTCTGACGGAGAAATATTTTTGCCGTAAATATCTCTCCGTTCACGCGACTTTCCACTGATTCCTGTAGCAACAGTTTTTATCGCATTATTTCCTTCGCGCACTCGTCTACGTCGTTACAGACAGATTAAAAAATGCGGTTTCGAAATTTCAAAGTACAAAAATTTTTCCGACTACTAACGAGACAAATCGCTCTACCGCGGCGATCAGGAGCGACGCGGAGGAGACTAGCTCGTCTCACGCGTGAGACTCCACACGATGAGAATCGCAAGGATCGTGACGACCTGCCGGCGGGAACGTCCTCGTTCCCGGACTCCCATTCGTATTCGTACGAGAAAGCTGCGCGCTCCTACGGAGGGTAAAGATATAATACGGTCGGCGTGCCTGGAGGGGATTGGCCCGGGCGCATGATATGTTGTCCGAAAGATTTACATCGTTTTCTTACGATTGGGGAGGAAAAATCGAGTCCCTGTATCTGTCTACCTGATTTACGGTGTCTCGGGGTGGCTCACGTGACGTCCCGTGCTCGGGAGTGGAGACGCGCGCATTCGCCAAATTAAATCGGGCGTGGATTGAACGTGAAGAACGCGCGCCGCGTGTACACCCGGAAAAAAACTCTTCGTCGACCTCTTTGCGTCGTGGACAATTAACGATCTCGTTCTCATTGAACGCTTTGGCGCGTCTCTGTCGTTACGCGCGAAGATACACGTTCAAACACGGTTAACGACGACGGGCTGCTACACGTGTAGCGCATGACGGTGCTCGCGCGGCAACGCTATCGTAATGATCTGAAATTAAATGCGATACGGACGACTCAGTGCCGAAATGCTTTATCGACACGGACATCGCTCGCGATAGATAGTTGTTAGTCCGCTCGAAATCGCCATGTATATTGCCTTTAATCTTTCTCTTTCTCTCTTTCTCCTTCTCCCCTTCTCTCTCTCTCTCTCTCTCTCTCTCTCTCTCTCTCTCTCTCTCTCTCTCTCTCTCTCTCTCTCTCTCTCTCTCTTCCTTTCTCTCCATGAATTTGCATGTAATGAATAAACTTGACGGCAAATTTATCCGACGCGAGTAACACGATGTAATTTCGTTGCAGGTGAAAATCTGGTTCCAAAACCGACGGATGAAGTGGAAGCGCAGCAAAAAGGCGCAGCAGGAGGCTCGCGCGAGCGGAAAGGCCGAAGACACCGGAAGCACGAGGAGTACCGAAAGAGACGCCGGAAGCGACGTTAGCGTCAACGCGCCCGGTACACCGGAGGAGTCTAGAGGAACGCTCCAGGAGAGTCAAAGGACCGGCACGGATCTTCAGGAACCCTTGTACCGACCTTACGTGGTTTAAAGGACCAACGAGGGCGCCCCTAACCCTCGGAGGACCAACGTTCCGCGGGAAAAATTCTTGCAACGTTCCTGTCGTCCTCGTTTTATTTCGCTTGTATGATTTGATAAGATTAACAAGTAGATAAAAATGTTCTCGTCTGTGAATATCATTAACTTAATAAGGAAAAGAAATGAAGAAAAGAAAAAGAGCTTCCTTGGGAGGGTTTAGATCGTTGGTCCTCTAACGGTTAAGGACGAGTGGAAACTGTCATCGGGCGTACTTTTGTCCCTAGTCGTTTCTTAAAAAATTATTTCTTCGCAAAGAGAAATCATAATCATATTCCCGATTATTGAGGTTGAGTTTGTATCACTTTGACTACGCGTGCGCCTGTGCTCATAAATTCTTTTGTAACAGAAGACATCAACGCTTCGCTGTTGATTGCGATATAATTTTTATTAGTCGACTCTGACGAGGAAGGATTCCATGACTTCCTATGGGGATCGAAACCGGTGCGCGATTCCCCGATGCTTTCCAATTTTTCACGCCATGCACACAGCGCCGGACACAGCGTGAAACCTACGTGTAATTCACGCCGAGATTGTCGCGTTTCTACCGTCAGTGGACACGAAAATTATTTTCTTGCGCATCGCGCGGGATCGTCGAAATCCGTCTCGATCGAGATTGCATTGGTTTCCACGCGTTTTACCGTCGATCCTTACCAACTCTACCGCGAGCCTTGTTTTCTACATAAAAAAGGGAAAAAAAAAGCAACCGATCTCGTGTACATGTACATATAATCTCATCCCTACACTTTACCAGTAATAAAGCAAAATTCCTATGTAAATAGCGTCGCGTACGAGACGGTAATCGCGATCACGATCGTAGCTCGCTTGTTAATCGCGTTTAATTATCCCACCGACGAGTCATCGTCGGGAGAGGTGTCTCTCTCGCTCGAAGCAACGAGAGAGAGAGAGAGAGAGAGAGAGAGAGAGAGAGAGAGAGAGAGAGATCGCGCGGTCGAATTATCCATGCCTATCGTTCGGCGGACGGAGAAGACGCGGGTCGCAGACGATGTGAGACGAGACCGGAGGACGTGTGTCGTGATCGTGTGCGATCTAGTGATAGCGGATTCGTCTTGGGATCTGCGGAGGATCCGAGATGGATGCCATTTAACTTAAGCCCGTCGTGTACATAGACACTCTAGAGACTATTTATTCTGTGTTCGCTCGGCTTGTAAGATAGAGACGCCAGATAAACGCGCCGGAACCGCGACGTTGTTAATATAGACGGTGTCAAGAGACGACAGATAAACGCGGTATTCTCCCTCTTTCTCTCCCTCTCTCTCTCTCTCTCTCTCTCTCTCTCTCTCTCTCTCTGTCTCTCTCTCTCTTCCTCTCACATCTTCTCCATTATCCTCTTCCACCCTTTCTCTTTCTCTGTTTCCGTGGGTGGCGTCCACCGTCTGCAGTCCGGCTGCGAGCGTTACTCGAGTATCGTCGCGTGAGTACGAGCGAGCGAGAAGCCATGTATTTACGGTATACGATGTGAGTGTAAATATTATCCGCATAGGTCCTAAGTTTAGCGAATGCAATGCAGATACACGATATGATATATATCGCGACAAGTTCCTAAATAAATTATGAAATCGAGCAAACCTTTGCAAGCCGGCCTTCTTCTTACCTTCTCGAGCCCGTCATTCTTACCCCCCGACAATCCTCGAATCCTAACGATTAGGCGCAATAGAAATGAGCACTTTATTTCGTGGTAGATTATCTACCCAACAACAAGATCGATGAAACGACCTCGAGTAGAGACGACGAGTTTGCGAAGAATTCAGCGGCGGAAGGTGTTACTTATTATCTCGTTCGCCACAGTTGACGCGAATGAACAACGACTTCAAAGCGGACTTCGTTTCGTCGTTAAATTGATCTCTCTTCCCGAATTGCTATCTCCGCTGGAGGTGCGAGATAAATTCGCAAATCCGAAAAATATCAGATTTTACTCGGTATTTCCGACCGGCCGATAAACGCGGCCGGATCCGCCGGTATCTGGCCGCGTGTGCGAGGGAGCCGGGTCTCATGTTATTTGCATGATGGCCGCTGATTGGTATATGGCTTGTAAATGAGAGGCTTCATCCCCGACGCGGATAACCACTCCCGCACGGGCCTGGCCGGCGCGGAGCGGAGCGGAACGCTCGGTGGAGAAGCGGCATGTTACGAAAGGCACTCGAAGGAGCGACGGGCGTAAGTTCCAGTTCGGGCTGCGCCATCAGTATTTATGACATGCTAATCCCCAGTTACGAATTCCGCAACATTCCGCGGACGACCGGGATGGATGGAGCGGCGGTAGCGACGGCGACGACGGCGGCGGCGGCGGAAAGCCGCTCGTTCGGAAAACGTCAGCCGATGCGGAACGGCGCAAGGAGAAGAGAAAGTCGTATTTGACGAACGCGGATCGATGTCACCCGCGCCGTGTATTTCCCCGCGCTGCCATTTCCTTTTTATTCCGAGGTATGCTCCGAGCGAGCGAACCATCAAGGCCGAAAATCAGGAACGACGAATGCATCGATAAATTGGCCGGCGAAAAGCGGCGGGAAGTAGAGCTCGCGAATTGCGGCATGAGGGAGCATTAGCAGGATACGCATCCTGCGCGAAGAAGCCGAGACATAAATGCAACGCCGTCATTTACGAGGACACGGTGAATTCACGCGAACGCACACAGCCCCGCGATTAAGTCGCCACCGAAAGAGAAAGCGTGATGACTCCTCCTCGACTCGGATCCACCCCCGGCGCGGTTATTTTTCATTCGCGACTCCAGCGACGAGATTCTACCTTCGCAAATTCGATCGCCAAACATTATTACGATCGCGCGTCGCGGATACTCGTCCGAGCGCGCGAGTCAACTCGCTTATACGTGTACTTCCCCCCATTCCCCGTGCACCCTCGTCATCGCGCTGCAGATTCGTCAGTCGATTCCGTCGTTCTTATTACTGATTCGATTGCCAAACTGCTCCGCCCGCGCCCACCCCCCGCCGGTCGTACCGCTCCGATTTTTCGTCCTCATCTTTCACTCGTGAAAAATCCGCGGCGAGAGCAACTCGAGCGAGTTTTACCCGGCGTGATTATTTGCGAGGAAAAATCCGGGATTGCCCGGACCGGGCAGGACGATCTCGAGAACGTTCTGGCATGGCGCCATATCTCCGTTTACGCCACGGCTCGGCGTGGCGGAAAAAGGAAATGGCCGTAAAGCTTCTTCGAGGAATGCGCCGCCGCCGCCGCCGCCGCCGCCGACCCGTTATATCGCGCCGCGATACCGTGACGCTCTCGAGAATTAACATAACGACCAATCCCGCTTCGTGTTCTCCACGTGTTCCCTTCTTCGGCCCCACGCGGGGCCGAATTGATCGCGCGCGCGCTCGCGAGCGATCGCGATCTGACGCGACCGGCAACTCAGTGAAAAACGTATTCTCCATTAACAGATCTAATCAATTTGGGAGATGTCGAAGATACCGATGTTTCACGAACATTCAAGGATTTCGCGATCACCTGATTCAAGCATTTAAAGTCGTTTGGGTGATCCTTATGCGATCTTTTACGAACATCGAACATCGCGATTTTATTTTCACATCGAGAATGTCTTAGCTCGACAAGCCGAATGAAATCGTGCAGAAATCGGACGAGAAAACCACGTGAGATTACGTATACTACGCTGAAGACATCACGGTGGCTTTCTTCAGCGTCAAAACTTCCGGATGCCATCGCCTCTCCAAACGCCCAAGGCATGTGGATTCCAACGTTCGTCGGAATCATATCGGCCGATCTCACCCCGAGACTCGCCGCGGACGTTCATTCGACGGACGTTATACCTCGGTTAGCTGATTTCGCTCGTCCTCATCCAGCAGAGGAAGTCGAGAGTCGTCGCCGTAGTTGCGGTAGAGGATTGCGAAGATAGCAGGCAAGTGGCGAGGGGTGGAGAGGGCAAGCGGTAGGACGTGGCGGCGACGAGGGTGGGGCACTCATGTTTATATGCATTGTATTGCTAAAACCCTTTTAACCGAATTACATTTAGCGATTCTAGTGCCGCTTCTGTGTCTACGTAACTTCTCCCCTTCTCGCCCTCCCACTCGCGAACCTCCCGCTCCCTCTTCCGCTCGTCCTCCTCGTCCTGCACCGTCGCGCGATCTCCGTCTCTCTTTCTCACGCTTCGAGCTACGGCGCGTGTCTACGTATGCGAAGAGCTACTCCATCCGCCTTCGGAAGATCGTACCATACGACGGTGGTGAGCTGATGGCGAGGGTGATGGCGAGGGGAAGGAGCTCGGGTGGTGGAAAGAGGAGAGAACGCAGGGAGAGAAAGAGAAAGAGAGGGAATGAGAGAGAGAGAGAGAGAGAGAGAGAGAGAGAGAGAGAGAGAGAGAGGGAGAGAGAGAGAGAGAGAGAACAAGCAGCGCGATGGGGCTGGATTCCAAGAGTCGGGAACGGCATCCCTGAATCCCTGATTCTCTTGGTAAACAAGTGCTTGGGTGATTCACTGCTTGTTCACTCCTATCGGCCGTCGTTTGTTTCTAGACGCCATTGCGTTCTACGATTCTACCTCGTTTTCCGGTCTAATGGATTTTGGGGGCTGTCGAGGGTTGCTTCGAGAGTCCCTCGGCGTTACCTCTTTCTCTCCCTCTCCCACTATCTCTATCCCGCTTTCCGCCGATCCTCGACATTCTAGTCTAGATGCTTTTTCTAGCACCTGCCGAATACAAGGCCCCCCTCCCGCCTGTCTTTGGAGTCTTTGACTTCGATACGTAGTTCGGTATTTCGATGGCTGCCGATGACCTTTAGCGTTATCTTCGTAATGGAACATGACGGTGAGAAAACGCGCGACTGCATGGCCGCGCATTGTGCGCGGTCCAAGGAGAGCTCATCGACACGATAACTTGCGTTGAAGTCCATCAATAGGATAATAGAATACGTCGCGGGTTATTCGGCGATTACTTCTGAAATGTTCAACTTGTCTCGCTACTTGTGTGTAGTCACGCGGGGAAGAAGTGTCGCGGCGATCAGGTACATAAAAAAACCTCTTCCCACCGAAAGTTCCTGCCAATTTTGCAGATCAGAGACATGTAAGTTACGCTATCATTCCTTCGCACTCCCGCGCTCACCCTCCCGCTCGACGCTCTCGCGTGGTGATTTAAATCAATTCATTCAGACGGAGGAGAGAGCGAATAGTTTGAAGTTCCGATCAGTCTTCGGCACGGTGCCGAAAGTTCGGCAGAATTCCGATCGCGTTTTTTCCTCGCGCCGACCGGCGCAAAAAGGAAGAGATGGAAGCCGACCACCACCACTACTACGACATCGCGCGATATCTGGGAGGTCAAGCGCCGTCGTCGCCATCTTCGACTTACGACGCCCCCCGCAAGGGTCACGGGAGGATACGTCCCTGCCTTGGCTCGCGCGCATCTCGCGGCAGAGTCCGTCATTAGCGCTAACAAGGTTACCCTGGGGCTGTGGGGGTCGGCGGGGGGTGGCAGGGGGACCAAGGGGGACGCCACCCTCCGACGACCTACCCTTTGCTGGCAGCACACACGCGCGGACACGTGTACACGTGCGAGCGCGCGTGTATGGCCGCGTACACGTACACAATCTTGCGGCCGTAGCCTCCTTAGAACAAGGGGGGATAATAAGATCTGCGACAATCAACCCGAACGACGACGACGACGACGACGACGACGACGACGAGGACGACGGCGACGAAGACGACGACGACGCCGGAAGAGCGTCATGACGCTCTCTCGGACGAGCTTTCAGGCGACGTCCGTCACGTTACGTGCACATCTATCCCTCTCTCCTTCCCACCGTTCGCTACCACGCCGCCTCCGCCGACCCCTTTCCCTCGTCCCGCGCCTATCCGCGATTCTACCTTCATCCCCACGTCTACCTCTATCTATCTCGACTTCCATTTCTATCTTCATCTCCATCTTCGTCCCTATCCCCGGCTCTCTTCGTCTCTCTTCACTCCTTCGCGGCATCCCTGTCCCTCTGCTTTATCCTCCGCTGTCTTGTCCAACTCACCCCCGACACTCCTCCCCCTACTCCCTGAGCTTCTTGTTCTCACCACTACGGTGTACTCTCGAGGAGGTAGGTAGGTAGATAGGAAGCTATCTTAGTTTCCGCGACCGCCTTCCCGGCACGATTCGTCAACAATTCGTCCCGGCCGTTAAGACGCGCATCGCGCGACTGCAATAGCGCCCTTTGCGGACACCGAGCGACGGCATCGTACCCCGAGATGGCGTAATTTCGATATCATGAGGATTCCGGAGAACACACCCCGATTTCCCTGGGAGAAGGAAATTCGAGAAAACAGGGTTCCGAAAGATCGCGAATTCATCCCATGGGGCTGATTTATCGTCGTCTTTAAGTGAACAGAAATTTTTATTTTGCGTCATGCATAATCGACAATTAATTAACACAACGTCCCTAATAATATCACTGCCGCAGTCATCAAGGACCAAAGAATCGATGTATTTGGAAAAAAATTGACGTTTGGCAAAAATTAGTATTTAGCAATCGTATGGATGTGGACGCAAATTAAAAAAAATCACGGTAAGTTAGATAATAAGAAGATAATTGTTCAAGTGCAAAAATAAATTAATCACATCAGCAATGCAAATGGTAAACCTAACCAGCCACCGCCGTGGAAGAAAATAGCTCACAGTGGAGACTGATTTATTACCTTTTGTCATATTCTACGGCGCGACTTATCCATTACAAGATAGGTCGTCGTAAAGGTCGGATCCATTAGGATTAATGCGATAGGTCATACGGAATTGCGATCGCGTCGTTAGCGAGTTCAACACACCGAGCCAAGTCGCCGATGTTGCCTTTAATGAATTTGCCGACGCAGCGAAAGAGGAACACTTGTATCTTGCCGAATACACTCTTCTTCAATCCCTCTTCTTACTGTCACGCGCACAGTTACGCTTTGCAAAAAGAATGAATCGCAAAGAAGGGAAGAAAGAATTAACTCCGAGTCCCATTCGCTGCGATCTGTTCTACGAACCGCCAGGCAATTTTCATTGTGCGGCCAGCGCGACATCTCTCTTTCGCTCGAAGGGAAAATCTTTACAACCTTTCCGAGCAATGTCGAGATTACAGCTCGTGCCGGCCAAAACTTTTACATCTCGTATTCCCCCCGTCCCACCCGAGGAAGATAACTTTCGACGTTCACGAGCGCGACGAGCGCGACGAAGCGAACCGCTTTCACATCGCTGATATATCGCTGATATATCGCTGAGCAAAAGAGCCTAAGCCCGGGATGTGGTGATTCGGTAAACACGACGAAGACTCATAGATCAGTCGCTGATCCGTGCTGCCGAGCTGTTCTTATCTCGCAGGACGGACCGCAACGTTCAGCACGGTGACCGGCAGGCATGGATTGGTGTTGGTCGAGTCGATTGTGTGTAAGTGCCTCAGAAGAGAGAGAGAGAGAGAGAGAGAGAGAGAGAGGAGAGAGAGGTTGTGACCGGGAGAGAGGAGGTGACGGCGAGGGCGAGCTGGCGAGAACGCGAGGGGGTTGGGAAGAAAGAGGGAGGCGATGCGATGGAGTGAGGGACTCGAGGGGTTGCGGGAGGCTGGAAGGAGCTAACCGCATCGTAATCAACGTAAAATGGCGTCGGGAACAGGGAACGGAGAACGGAGGAGCCTCCTGAGGTCGTGCCGCCATTGTTGATCACCCTCACCCTCGTATAATACGTGCTATACGGTTCGCCCAGGGATGCACCCTCCGCGGGCACCCCGTTTCGACGTTCTTACGTCGCCCGGAGGAACTTTACACCGCGCGGCGCAGAGATGGGCGCGAGAAGCGCTTTACACGATCGTGTAGGAGAACGAGATTTCGGAACGTAACTCGAGACTTCTCGAATCACCCGATGAGACACCGGTGACATCGCGTGACAAGGTAGACAGATAGAGAGAGAGAGAGAGAGAGAGAGAGAGAGAGAGAGAGAGAGAGAAATTCGTCTGGGTATTCGCGTCGTGTTCAAACAACCCAGAAAACGATTCAGCAAACGGCGCGAAAGAATTAGCACGGGTAAAAATAAGCAAAGTGAGATCCCGGCTCGCGCGAGAGCCGGCTGAGCCGCACATAATTATTTCGGCAGGGCGTAACATTTTCCTCAACTTTGTTTCTCGCAGCGTCATAAGAAGCGCCACAATGTAGTAGCCGGATTTTGTATTAAGTACTTGCGCAAACCCCTTTTTGTTACTCGCGCCGCCGTTTCGCTCGGCCCGGCTCCGCTCCGCGTCGTTCCGCGCGCGCGGGCGACGCTTCACTTTTGTATTTTACGATAAATCCACGGTTCGCGCGCTTCGCGGCGAGGAGGAAGCGCGCCTCGCCCCGTCCGAAGTTGGATTCGACCCTGCGGGATGCTCGGCAAGTCGTAATAAATTACGTAGAAGTGGAGCCGTGAGCGGAGATTACTGGCCCGGTTTCTCCCACCAGCCGACGGCTCCTATTTCACCACCAACCACTCCCCTTTTCACCACCGCCTGCACGATGGCGATGGCTGTTTCACTTAAGCCCGCCTGCCTGCCTGCCTGCCTGCCTGCCTGCCTGCCTGCCTGACTGCCGTTGCAATTTTGACGAGCGCACGCCAAATGCGACGCTAATGAAATCGGCTCGCGATTCACGCTGCGAATCCAACGGCATGGAAACCGCTCCCGTGTTTTACGTTCAGGCACGTTTCACTCGTGCCGTATGATCTCATTTGCAGCTTCGCGCGCTGCGGCTCGTATTCTTCAATCTCTTACCGAGCGGCGAGATACTCCCGAACTCCCGAAGGATACGAGCGGCTAAGTGTCGCAGCGTGGCGATTGACCCACAAATCCTACTTGCCCACTCTGGGCCCGGATTTCTCAAAGTCGCGCGAGCTTATCGATTTTATCAACGTACCAAATTGGGGGGGAGGACACTTTTTTGTGGAAAATATATTTTCTTTTGTGTGACGTATCTTTAGACTGTTCACCGATAGCTGACATCATTCTCGCTATACTTACGTACGACTTGACTTTTTTTTTCCACTTCCAAAAATAAAATCGTTAAGAAAATGCTAAGTAGTCCAAATACGAAAAATTGCGAGCGAGGCATGCGCTGCGTCTTTAACCTTTCGTAATATAATTGTATCTAAAGTGCGCTTCCAATATAAACGAGCGCTTTGACATCAGGAAGATACGAAAACGAATTCGTTTGCTCAGAGACATTTTCGAGGTCGACACGGCGAGAACGTCGAATTAACAATCATCTCTCGTGATTTCGAATCCGTCCGCAGCGAGCATCGCCAACAAAGTCGGGGTAATTCGGATTGGCTGCGCGACGGATCGCATAAAAATTCAGGGAAGTACCCTCTGAACGGTTCATTTCACTCGAGCTGATCGTGTTCGACTCAGCCTCGAGGGCAACATACATTATGGTGTGCTGACTACCTACCATCTTCTCCAATAACGCAATTTAATCCCGAGAATGATGTAAGGAGCGCTTTGCACCCGTTTCGTATCTAGAATACGGTATCCGTTCTTTCTTTTTCTTCACCTCTCCCTTTTTCTACATCTGCCTCCCCTCGAAATTGCGCAAGCTACACGAGTGAGATTTAAACGCATTTTCTAATTCACAGAGTTGCAGTACTTTGCTCATGGCGATCGTATCGGAAAAGCTTACGAGATTACTGGAGCGTGAATCGATCTGGATGAAGTTCTTGTTAAGAGAAAGGAATGCGCACGAATATTCCGAGTCTCGTTTCTTCTCTGTTTGACAAATTTAGCATATACCTGTCTGGTATAATTATTTACATAGTTTCACGCGGGCAATTTTTAGCAAGGTTTGTATCATTCAAATTCGAAACCTATCAAAGCGTGTCTTTTTGTGTTTACAATTTCACACGATTATATGTATCTTTTCTATTGTTGCATAAAACGCAGACAGCTAAGCCTCATAATTATTCAGTCCACGATTTTTAATATTTTATATTTAAATTTGAAAAATGTAGATATTGCATATTATCATGAATTGGAAAATATCAATCGTTCTAAGATTGAGCAAATGTTCGTTACCAATCGTAGTAGCGGACTATCCGCAATACTTCTACCTTATCGGTTGAACAGGAAGCATCTTCAGCATCTCTATCTGATAACTATGCTGAATATTAATGTCATACCTAATGATTTATCCTCAGCAGCGCAACGTTATCAATGACTTTTCAATCAAGCTACTAAAGATAAATCACCAACCATGATACTAAAGATGCATCCCACTTTCCGACGGTAACAATTGCCAGCTACTAGTCTTCTACCGACTACTAATCTGCTACCGACTATTGGTACAGATTCGAAAGCTTACATCTCTCTCGGAATATTTTATGAAATATACTTTATTCTGTGTGATAAATATAATTCTGTCTTTTAAAACGTGTGCATTTAGAAAAATATTTCGTACATATCATTCTCTTATTGACTGTTTCAAGAAAAGCGACAGAAGCGCCTTCCAAACATTATTCAGAATAAACCAAGATATTTCACGATGAGAGCGAAAATTTAATTTAGATACGACGACGAAATGCAACTATAACATTATAGTATATAATATCAGCCTCAACTTGGCCAGCGACAGTAATACATCACAGCAACATTAAATTGCTGTTAAAATCTCACAACTATAATCAACTTTCGTAGCTACCAAATAGAGCCAACAGGCCTAACAGATCGAGGAGAAACCGTACAAACGACACAGTCTAAATTCCACAGAAATTTTACGCTGGAATATTATCGGGACTAGAATTTTTCGTCAGCATCTCGCCGCTACTTCACACCGTATAATCGCGAGTACGTTTGAATAACCCGCCCTGTGAAAAGTCAGCATGGCGAAGCGCGCTCCCACACAGAAGCGACGCATCCGACGACGTGCGGTACCCTGTGAAATGAGCCGTACGGATCGATAAGCGATACGCGACGTGTTCTACGACGTGGTCGTGTCGCTCGCACGCCATAAAAAAGGCATCACGTGTTGATAACATTAATCAACGGAGATAACACGGTAGCGCGCTATCCCAGCAGAACGTTGCGACCGGCCGCAGAATAAGGTACGTGTACGAGTTCGCTCTTCAGAGCTCTCTCTCTTTCTCTCTCTCTCTCTCTCTCTCTCTCTATTGATATTAAAAATATCACGCGTCGCGTTCGCCACGTCGCCGTTGCCGCCGCTGCACTGTGTGTGTTTTGCTTTCCCACTCGCCACAAGCGAACAGCTGACGCGACGTCTGCCGGCGCGCGTGCGTCTCCGCGCTATGTATGCACGTGCGTCCGCGTATGCACCACGACGACGACGACGACGTCGACGACGACGACGATGACAACGACGACGACAACGACGACGACGACGATGCGATGCGACGCGCCGCGACGCGCCGCGCCGCGCTCCGCTCGCGGTTACGGCCAGATGTGTGTGTATGTGTGTATCGTGTGAGATAACTCGCGTGTAAGTATAAAATAAAGATTGCGATATCCGGACTACACAGTGCTGTCGGTGGTTTGACTCAGGAACGTGCTTCAAACACGCTGGATCGCTTCATAATCATTCATGACGCCACTGTTCATTAATCTCGCGGCGCGGCGACCCGCGCTCTTTGACGCTCTAATGGGGAATTTTTAATTTAAGGAAATTTTCAAGACGTAATTTACGACGTCGAGCCACACGGAGAAACGGTGCTATTCGTATTTAAAGGACGGTATTACAGACGGCATTATTTGCCTGTCCCAGAGCGAGATTTCAGAGCGAAAGATTAATTTCGGTCGCGGAATCGTCACTGTTCGCGTCCTCGTAAAAATGAAAGAGGACAATCTTCACGGACGAGTACAGCCGTGACTTTTTCTTCGGTTTGGTCTCGCGTGTGGCAAAAGAAACACGGCGGATCTGCGATTGCGCAATCCATAGCATATGTTCCTAATCGGCCACATAACAGTTTCGTGAGGAAGATACTATAGTATCGATGTTTCCAAACACATATCGATGCGCGTTTCACAAACACAAGGACGTCCAACACATGCGTGTTGTATCCCGAGATTTATTCGACTGGGATGTACACGAGTTAACGTTATATCACGCCGTTAACCGATGGGTTTACGGTCCGATGATACGTAAAAAACCGCCACCTATCGACATTTTCATACCCTCGCTGAGGAAAAAATAAGTTGAAATTGCAGCGAGAGCTCGTGCGGAATCTTAGGCATTTCTCCATATTATAAGCTACGAGACTCTAAGCGAATGCGCCTCCCGGGAAGATATGACGAATACAAATCGCTCATGTATTCAACAATATGTTGCCGCATATCACGTGTAATATCAGAGCGCGACTTTTACGAGCACTAGTTCATCATTTATTAATAAATCAGCGGACGCGGCGAAGCGTGATAATTATATCTATGGAAATGGATATCGATTGGAAGACAAGATGAAGGAAATCGTCGACTTCAAGTCTTCATCTTTCCGCCTGGCACTTTTTACGTTGAATATTAAAATTCGGCATTTTCTACGTTAAATATTAATTCGGGAAAGGGAATCGTTGACGCTTGGATGTTTAATATTTATCCACGCCAAAATGTTAAACATATATATCTCGAAGATTCTGAGGTATCAAAACGTTTGATTAAACCGGATTAAACCGGTTAACATTTCCGCAGCGAAAAAAAGCTTCCGCGTTTTATCGGGCGAGCGTATTGTAGCCATCTTATATTATATCTTATCGTTTGATAAACGATCAGATATATATTCGTAAATTCGATGGTCCAAGCTGCAGAAACAAAATCTTGCATTACAACACGGAAGTTTCAACGCGCTTCTAACGCGTTTCTTCTTGCGAAAGTCTCCGGCGCGCACCTCCCCACACACCTCCAAAAGAAGTCCACTGAAAGGTAAAAAATCGTCGCGATCGTTCAAAACGATTCGCAGTATCGATCGTTCGATTACTGATACAATCGCCACAAACCTAACTACGTCGTTGTATACGTTAGCAACTTAGCAAATCTTACTCAGACTGCATTAATCCGTCAATAATAATTTGACGATAAAGCGAACAGTTTTCCGACACACGTGGTCGTCTCCTCTCCCTCCTCCTCCTGTGTATATATCGCGAGCGTCATTTGCATTAAATACCATTCCGAGAATTAAGGAACGAGCTCGCTTCTGGCTCGCGACCTCAATAGGCATTTGAATAAAAGGCCTTGCGCCTGGGAAATATGCGGCTTCAGATGAAATTTAATCAAAGTCACCTCTATATTGTGCGCCTGCTCGATCTCGTCGAGAGCCTTCAAAAAGGCCCACGTCGCAATTCTCGTCGCGGTAACAAGTCAGCTAAAGAGAGCGAGACGTCTATAAATTATTTCACCCCACGAGTAATACCCCGTTCCCTCTTCGGCAGAAATTAAACGGCCCAATCAGTTTTAAACGTCTCACGTCTACTCTGATCCCTTTAGGTGCATTTTAGCACTCCGTGTATATCGATTTTTAAGATTTTTGGGGCACGTGTCGCCCCCATATATACTATCTCATCAACGGTACAAAGCGTGAAGTTATATTTAGAAATTGTTATTATACGGAAGGGTAATCATCAGTCAGGGCGTCATCTCGTATTTCTTATTACGCGAGTGCTCGACTACACCGGAAATAAGAGGTTCAAATTAAGATCGCATAGCCGAGTTGCTCTTATGCATGCTGCCGCTCAACTTGTTTACCGTGGCTGCATCTCAAACAATAGCGTAATTACCGTAAAAGACAAGCGAGTTGTGCCGCCAACCTGAGCGAAAGCATTCAGCTATGCAACAAATCGTACAACCGCATTGCGCGATGCCGTAATTTCATTAAGACAGAACGGTGAGGTTAGGGTAAGACGGAGAGAGAGACGTTACAAAAGAGTCGCGAATGTATTCGGATGAGACTCTCGCGGGCGATTCAAGCTGTGTTTTCTTCTTCTTCTTCTTCGCGTGTCCGCGATTATACAGCTCGGAAGAATGTCTTGCCAAACGAACGGAGGAGACCACGCCGTCGGAGCAGAGGACCGCTTTGTGCCCGTTCTGACAGCCAGCGCGGACATTTCGCCGCGATTAGAGAGGCTGGCGATTCACTTCGTCTCTAAGTACAGCGTGGAGCCTGCCTTTTTCGTCCGAGTGCCAGGACGGTGAGCTACTTCTCGATAAATTTACATGCCAAAAGATTGCTCACACGTGAAGAGTACCACAAAAGCGGTGAGAATCCTCCACGGAGAAAAAGAATTGGTCGAATTACCGCGACGGTGCACGCACCAAGTTACTTTTGGCTGAAGGGACCGGAATTTCTGACGTTTAAAAGCAAATTCGGCTCACAGGAACCAAAAATTCTGCAGCTCTCTCTCAACCAAAACGCGTCCGATTCGTTCGCCGTGTCACGTCAAGCCGATCAATCTTTTTTCTCCGTGTAGTCAACAAAAAAAAGTAAAGGCCAACTTTACGATCAAATTCCTTTTTTATCCTTTTGTTTGTTTTTAACAAAAAGCGTTATACCGCTTTCGCGCTTCACATAGCGATTCAGTCGGATATTTTCCGACTCTCCGTCTAGATGATCTAGATATTTTCGCAAAACGATACCAGGCACGTTTACGAATTAGGGATCCCGACTCGCGTGCGTGTTACAGAGTAAATTTGATCGGCGAGCACATTGATTATTGCGGCTACGCCGTTTGCCCGATGGCCATCGAGCAGGATATACTTGTCGCCGTGGCATTGTCAAAAGATAACGAGATTCAGCTCACCAATGTGGACCCCAAGTACAAGGACTTTCGATGCACTTTCGAGGGCGTAGGGTGAGTACGTAACTCGATAAGGGCCTAAGTTTGTTAAGAGGCGGCGCGGAGTTAGCCGTATAATAGTTTAGACAAGTCCGCCAATTTATCGACAAATGTTTTAATAGTCCCGCGTGCACAAGCCGCGCGACATCGTTATGAAAACTTTTCCTCCCCGAGCTACCCCGACGGGGTGCCGTATCTGCCACGCACGTACAGCGCGTTTATAGCGCATAATATCGCAATATCTGCCCCATAACGTACCCTTGCGCCTGCAGTTGCGGTCTCCCGAGCACTTATAAAGCACTTATAGCCCCTTAACAATTTAAGCCTCTCTCGATCCCGCGGTCCCGGCCATCTTGGATTACGCGATGTTGAAGCGGGAATTATCTTCAATTTATCCGCGCGGCGTCTGCATACATCGACGACACTCGCTCGTGAGTAAGGTCCGTTAAGGTGATTTTCCACTTGGCGAGCGAACAGAATCGAATAAAGAGCGGGAATGGTTAGCTCACGGCGTGAGGAATCCCCGACGAGGAATTATAGTCGTCCGGCGGACCGACCGGCACGCGTAACGCAAGAAAAACAAATGACATCGCACGCGCGTGCACAACTTCTCCTCCTCCCTTTCTCTCTTTCTCTCTCTCTCTCTCTCTCTCTCTCTCTCTCTCTTGGATTAAATTAACCTCTGCGCTTTCTTTGCTCCTAGTATAATACCCGGCAAGATAATACGAACTTTCTTAATCTCATTCATTATTCAGTGTCGCGCCACGTCAGATAGCGTATAACTCAGCTCGGGAGCTTAACGAACGTCCTGTAATCGATTTTCCGGATTTTCGCGCGTTATATGTAGATCTCACGTGTACTTAATTACACGGCGATATTACGTAACGATGGGAACATACACCCGTGTGTATGTGAGACAGAGAATAGTAAAGGAGGGAATGGGAAGGGAAGAGGGAGGGGAGGAGGGAATTTTTGATAAATCAGGCGGAATCTGTCGAGCGTTGATCCTGACGAGCGAGGCGAGAGCGGAATCCTACGTGCGAACGTAAAATGTAGCGCAGTCGCACGTTTCAGAGGCCGCATTAGCGATAGCGAGAACGGAGGACCGACGTGGTACAAATATTTTCTGTGCGGTGTAAAAGGAGCTCTCGAGGTAATCCCGACGGAATCCTACGTTCCTACGGGAGTCTTGGCCGCGGTGTGGGGCAACATTCCTGCTAATTCCGGCCTCTCCAGCTCCAGCGCGCTCGTTTCGGCCGCGCTACTTTCAATCGTGCACGCCAGTCAGGTGAGGGAGGTTCAATTACTTGTCTCGAGCGAAATTTAAGGTATCACCGAGGACACGGGATTACGATATCTCGATGTCGATGTCTCTCCCCCGGTTCGGGGGCGTTCTCGTCTCGTCGAGAGCGCCTCTCGCTTCCGAACACTCGTTTATTATAACTTCGAGCAATCGATAGAAAAGTCATTTGATGCTCCTCGATCAACAGCCGTGACACGCGAATACTCGAATACGATACAACGGTGACTCGGAGATATTATTTGAAGGGCGACCGGCGACTCATCGTTTTACAAAATAATATTATAAGCATTTGTCTAATGTTGAAGTCGACGAAAACAACAATTGATGAGCGACTCGCTGAAGAATCCCGCGAGCGTCAAAGTTGCAGTCGGCGAATTACTTTTTCACAATTTAACTGACACTGAGTCTGAAAGTTGTCTTCTTCAAGCAGAGTTAGATTGGGCGAGGTAGCCCGAAAATTGGAGTCCTCTCACGTGTGTGTCCGACCTATATTTCTACGAACGATGTGAAAACGAAAGCGCGTATTCGTCGCGAACAGCGGAGACCCTTGGAAGTATTGTGTTTGCCAAGTGGATCAAACTACCGATCACCACCTCGTATAACGTTTCTTCATTTCTTCCACGGACACCCCTCCGAACGTAGATCCTATTTCCTCTGACGGTTTCGTGTTTGCTCCAACGGATATTGATATCGGACGCGCGCGACGTAACTATCTTCGAGATACTTCCTCCAAACACTTTGTATTGCTCTTTATACGTCATTACCCCGTCCCCCTCAATTTCCTGTCAGTCCAATAATCAACGTGTTGACTGGGAGAAGTTTGCCTTTGTCGTATTCCGCGCGCGATTCCTTTCTTATTTTATCTTTCGTCGCGATTGACAGTCGACATCTACATCTATATTTCAAGTTATCGATATTTGTTACTGCGACGATTGTCATTGCTGTTTCGCGCCAATATGCGTGTTATGTGTTACAGTGTCAATTGTCGAAGCACGAATTGGCGACTGTCAGCGCTCGCGCGGAGAGACATATCGGCACTCAAGGCGGCGGAATGGACCAGGCTATCGCTTTCCTCGGAAAATCAGGTAACCGCGCATCTGTCAAAAGCGCATCTGATAAATTAATCTCATCCCGTTAATTAAATTAAAGCAGCTCGTAAGATTATTTCTTGCATAATTCCGAAAAATCATCCTGTACCTTTCACCTCATTTATTCAACTCAGTCAGTTTTATATTTGCTCTTTCTCAGAACAGTCAGCGAGTATGATGATCGATGAGAAAAAAGCAATTGCGCACAATTTAAAAAAATATTAAAGAATTAAATAAAAAAAATCACATTTGACTACCAGGAACAGAGGTACGTCGCGAACTTTTCTGCGTGGAATAAAAGATAAGATACGAAATCTCGGGTCGCATAGGAAGACTCATCGGTGTCTCACTCTGCCACATTATTTTATTTGTTTATCAAGGCACGGCCAAGCTGATAGAATTTAACCCCTTGCGCGCTACCGACGTGACGCTACCGGAGAATGCCGTGTTCGTGATAGCGCATAGCCAGGCTTATCACAACAAAGCCTCGACCGGCGATTTTAATCTCAGGGTCGCGGAATGCCGATTAGCCGCACAGGTATTGTACCTTCAACATCCTCCTCATATTGTTCCTTCAGCATCCTCTACCGCAAGAGAAAATCTTCCCGTATCTTTGTTACTCGCACACTGGCTTAAAATAAAACGTGGATTGTAACGTCTCGGTCTGATTGATTTTTCTCTCTTTCTCTTTCTCTCTCTCTCTCTCTCTCTCTCTCTCTCTTTCTCTCTCTCTCTCTCTCTCTCTCTCTCTCTCTCTCTCTCTTTTTCCATCTACGCTCTAAGTCTACGTTAAACTCTTTAGAGATCCGCGAATAGAATAAGAGCGAGCGAAGACTAAGCCAAGAGACTAGCGAGACTCGTTTTTCGATTACGCTCCACGCTCGTCGCACGCCAATGGACATTGATCGATGCGTCCGCTGTTTGCCGGGTGCACTTTCTGTGGCTCTTACGGCTCCTCTAATTCCATCCCTTTCGCTCGTCTCGTCCCGCCCTGACGCTTTCCGAAAACACTCAACTTCGCTCAAAAATACCGATCGCGAAGACAAACGGGAGAAAGACGGCCTTGACGGCTAATTTTTTATTTCGCTACATATTTTCCCAGCTGAATGACGCTTCTTTTCTGCGCAGATGATAGCCAAGAAAAGGAACAAAGATTGGGAGCGCGTTCAAAGATTAATCGACGTCCAAGAGAGACTCGCCTTTAACTTGGACGAGATGATTACCGTAGTAATGACAGAACTGCACGAAGAGCCGTATACACTTGATGAGGTATACATTGTTGTGTTATCCGTAACAAGACAGCGGGGTCGCTCTCTTTTCTTTTTGTATATCTCGCGGCGAGGCGAATAGATCTCCCCGGAGATCGTTATCGGAGATCTCGTGGGGAGATCAAGGGAGAGCGGGAGAGCCAGAGTCTCGTGAATTGCGCCGCAAAAAAGAAACAGAAAAAGAAAAAAGAGGTGACTCAAAGCCACGCTTCATTTATCAGTAATTTACTCAATTGCGTTAAGCGGCTCGCAGCTACGCGCGAATACGCCTCGCTGAATTTCTCGTCAACGGCGAATCAAAGGGTTATTATCGGGACCGAGTATCTTTCTATCTCCCTTTTTCTCGTCCGTAGATCTGCGAGAGCCTCGGCACGACCTACGAGCGGCTAAAGGAGACGTCTCTCGTTGGTTCCTTTAATACCTCGCAGACGTTCAAGCTACGTCAACGAGCGCTGCACGTTTTCCAAGGTAAAACGCATCAATTTTCATGCGCCGCTAAATCGCGGAATGCGGTTTTATATCCGATAAATCAAAAGAGCTCATCTGCCCCTCCCTCGCCGCATATTTTCTTCGGACGATGCATTTTCCGTCTTTTTCTTACTTCCCCACTTCTCTTTTCTTCGTCTTGTTCTCTCTCGCTCTCTTCCGCTCTCCCGCCGCATCGGGAACGAGCAAGGGTTTCAGCGCGTTTCCCGTGAACGCGAACGAAGTTCAGCCGGCTAAGAGAAAACTTCTCAAAGCTCGCTATTAAAAAAGTTGGGGCAAACTACGTTTCGCCTCATTACGCTACAGCAATTACGAGAGTGTTTAACCGTTTTGCCGCCCTGTGTTACCGCCGATATTACCGGCGTTAACGCGAAAGAGAGGCACCGCGAACCGCCGCGCCGCGCGTTGTCGATGCTTCATCGCGACGACGAGAAGTCTCGGTTTCACGCATGTGAGAACGCGCGTGCTGGCGTCATCAATCACATGCGTGCTCCTCTCCTGTTCTACCGCGCGCGAAGTTATAAATTACCACGACGGACATGTGTATCGATCGCGACCTCCAAACTCGCTAAAAACCGGCTCGAGTTCGCTCGCCCGCTCGCACTCGCGCAAAATCGATCGCTGCGGGAACTTCGTCGAGGCTGTTCCGAGGTTATCGCGTTATCGTCGCCGAATATCCCGCGACCGCGAGAGTCCTCTTTAATTTTACACACCGTAGAAAGAAACTCGAGTCGCGCGACCGAGTAGAGACGACCAGGCAAGAACTCGTGCTTCAGAAGTGAGTAAGCAGTCGAATGCCGCTTGCGAAGACGCATTCGAGACCGCATCAAAAGACTCCATTGGCACAATTGAGAATAATTAATTGCGGTTAGAAACCTCCCGCGAGGATTTTTCTGTCCCTACTTTACTGTCCGTAGTTTTCGTCCGATTCCCGGATAACAGCAGATCAGTTGCGCAAACTGACTATTATTCCGAGTAATCGCTGAGTTCTACCCGCGAGATAGATGCAAACATTAATTTAAAAAGTACTTGTTAACACCCGCCCACGTCACTTCGCGGCGACGTCCTCGACTGGACTTGGCATCTCCGCGTCGCGTCGAAAATCGCGTCGTTCGTTCGCGCGGCCGGCGCTGACAGAATTTGTCACAATTAACCGCATCGCTGCCTTTACGTCCGCAGAGGCCGGCAGAGTGCTCGCGTTCCGCCGCGCAAACGAGGAGGAAGGCGGCATAATGGAACACGAGAAGCTCCAACAGTTGGGTAGCCTCATGTCGAAGAGCCACGCCAGTCTCCATAAACTGTACGAGTGCAGCCATCCCAGCGTGGACGCGCTCGTGGAGAGAGCCGTACATTGCGGCGCATTCGGCGCGAGACTCACCGGAGCCGGGTAAATATACATCATTATGACAAGTCGGATGTGTGTCCGTAATAACGCACGCGGCTAGCGAAACGCGAGTGAAATTCAAACGGCTCAAAGTGAGTGAGCGCATTTCGGAGAGGAGGGAAAGGTCGCTTCGTTAAATACGACATCGCCGGACGCGTATCTTACCGCGCTCCCTTGTTATTTAACATGCATTCCAATTATTTTGTCAGACAATACACTAACTAACATTGAACGTCATGACGGATGATCGTGTACCTCAGTGTATTATTACTTTCGTATGCCATGATCGGTACGTTATTCGCGCCGTCGCCGTCGCGGTGATGACGAATCGCGGAGCAAACCATCGCGACTAAACTCTCGCGGCGCTCCCTGTTGCAGTTGGGGCGGTTGCGTCGTAGCCATCATCAGCAAGAACGAAGCTCAACGATTCGTGGACGCTCTCCGAGCGGATCTCTGCCAGAACGGTGCAACAAAGGATCGCGCGGAGCTCAAGGATATGGTATTTCCGACGGCACCGAACCAGGGTGCTGTTATTTACAGTGTGTCAACATCGCTCGGAATCGTAAAGCCCGAGCCATAATAAATATAACGGGGGGTTCTGTCTCTCTTTCTCTATCTCTATCCACCGGCCCGCGTCGTCCCTTTATTGACATTCCATTATTTCTCCCCATCGCCCGTCGTTTCAGTCGTTCCGGTTTTCGCTCTGTTTTTCACCTCCCACCGTGAGCTCTAATTGACGAAAGGGTGTCACCGGTGCCGTTCGACGCCGCTTTAACGTCAGGTCGTCAGGCTCGGACACCGTCGCTATTACGGAATTCCAGCGACGAATGGGCAACGCGCTTGCTCCGCGCGGAACATCGCTTTTTGCCGTTTAATTGTTTAGCTGTGCATATAAATCCGATTTGCCGCGCTCGCGTTAAATCGAACCTGCCGAATGGAGAACGCGAAAGTCGCATTCGCGAAAGACTGAGGCTGATCCCCGGTTACACACTATGCCGGATTACAAGAGTGTGATATACTCACTTTCACACATTTCTGATTATTCAGAAGAGAGAACGCTTATGCGACAATGATTGGAGCAAACATTTTTTACGAGCATGTGCGACCGTTACGTGCGAGTTACAATCTATTGTAATTTATCCAATTTGTACCGTTTGATAAAAGATAGTAATTCAAAGTATACAAGCATGTAATACCCGACAGTACGAGTGATTATTAATAAAAGCGCTCATTTTTGAGAGAGATGATTACGTATAGATAAGCAAGTAACAATGCTACGGTGCGACAAAAACCTGTAATTCATCGCTGGACGATAACGCAACGCTGGACGAGAAATGCGCCAATCGATTCTCTGAATTCACTCTTTCTATGGCGCTCTTTTACCTCCCCTCCTCCCATTCCCCCTGACGAGCTATGATGTAATCTCTAATGAGCTACGACGAAAGTTCGTCGTAGCTCTAATGAGCTACGACGAACGGCGCGACGGCGAGCCAGCCATTAAGGTCATTCTACAATACGTGTCGTAAGTTGTAAGCCGTAAGAACTGATCAATTACAGCCCATTATTTTTATAATAATCGACTGTGATTCGCCAATTCTTACGGCTTACAACTTACGACACGTATTGTAGAATGACCTTTAGACCGCTGAGGCGAGGAGACGGAATTTGCCGCGGCGAAATTTCGCTCGGTTTAACGTCCGCGTTAAATTACCGTCATTGCGCGTTACGTGCTGAAGTGTAAAGTGCAACGTGTTCACGGGGAACGCGCGATCGTAATTTATCCGTTATTTCATCGTGTGTTCCGCGCGTTCAACTTTGACACGGGACCTGCGCGAAATGCGAATATCGCGGTTCTCCCGCAACGTGAATCTTAACGTGACGTTACCGTACCGTTACGCCGACGTCGCTAGCGTCCTTAAAATATACTGTTGTCAGGTATCACTCGGCACGTGCCGACACCGTGCCGAGAAACGTGCGGGAAGATTCTTATTCATCCAATAGGACGCTGCACCTGCCGCCGCCCTTAAAGTCCGACGGCGATATTGATTTTCCGCCGACTGTCTGTGCCGATAAATTGCACGGCAAGAAATTACCGGTACCAAACGGTACCGTTCCTTCAAAGGAATCTCACTTTCGACTCCAATCGCATAGACGTTACACGCTTCGATGAGACAATCAGGATTACCCGGATACGAGAGACGCTCATTGACACTGAAATCAGAGTTCCGGAGACGCGAATATCGGTAACGATAACGCCTCGAGCGCGCGCGATCACGAGCACGTAGTTGTAATTTCTTTATTATTTTACTATCTGATCATTCCATTGTGTCACAAAGTTTCCACAACGGAGCTGTAATAAACAAGAAGCAACGACGTCTACGACGTTAATTGCGCGACCAGGCGTGAAATTAAGGTACCGAATAAATGGCAAATACTAAAGTCGAGTCTCTTCTTATCTTCATCGAGAAATTTCCGCGAATTCCCGTGTCGTCGAGATTTCGTCCGCGACGATGCTTCGCGCTCGCTGCCTCAGCAGACATTGATTATAATCAACTCACGCGCACTAGCAATATCTATTCGCGGTGATACGAGATACACCCCGCTAATTCCACGTTCGCGCTTGTGATTTCGCGTCGGGCTACGCTGCTAACACGAGCGCAGAATCCACCTAAGATCAACGATGCAACGGAAGAATACACGTGACACGTAAAGGCGGTGCGATAACGGGCCCTGTTACGTACGGCCGCAAATCACACGGCGTTACCTCCCCAGCTGTGTCGTCGCGCACTCCGAAGAGCAAGAAAAATGACTTTATAACCCCCGGCCGCATAAAAACCATATCCTAACTTCGTTTTTTAACTTGCGCGCAGATAAACCAAAGTTAAAGCCGAGGGCTGAAGTTGAAGTATGTATAGAGTCCCCGCAGGGATTTCCCCCTCGCTTTCTCGACCCTCAACTTTTCGTTCTTCATTTCGTTCGAGCAAGACGGATCTTGTAGAGAGTCAGAGAAAGGGAGATACATTAGCGATGAACTTGAGCAATTCTCACGATGGAATCCAAGTGTTCGATGTGAACTCGTAAAATCTCGAGCGATTCAATCTCTAGGTTTCGTTTCAGCGACACCAATTTCGGGTGTTTGCAAAGAACTCTTTTTCTATCAAGTGTTAGACTAATATAAAAAATACAATTCAAACCTCGTGAGATACAGATTTTGGCGTTTCTTGCGTTTCTACGTAAAAAACGCAACACGAGAAATAAATGTGTATAAGGAGAATTTTAGAATCATAAGGCCCAACTAGACAGCAGAAACTGTAGAAAGAGCACATTTGTTCTTCGAATGCATTTTATATCCGTCAGAAACGAGAAACTAACTGCTCTCCCAATATTACAAGTACCACTCGCCGACCTCTCATCGTTCTCATCACAGATTAATTCCCGCGGGGATCTCAAGACAATCGATGTTCGACAATCTATCGCGAGAATTTAATTCCAGCGGTTGATCCTCGATTTGCAGGAAAACGATGTCCCATCTGTCAGAAGCGCGGAAGTCTCAGCTTTACAACGATTTTTGTTTCACGCCTCTACGACGTCTGAAGATGAAGCTATCGACCATCTTCATCGAACTACGCTGCTCTCGATCGGCTCGCCGCTCTCCAGATGGCAGCTCAATGGCGTGTTTACGTATTATTGTACTATTTACTATTACGCGTGGGTGGGAGGAGAGTGTTCGCATTACCCGACGCGCTTTTCGGAAGACCGCTCGGAGCCACGCGTGACCCTTTCCATTCCGCAACCTACCGCAACGTGCTGCGGCCTTGCCCCCACCACGCCGCACCATGTGCCGGCAGCTGTTCGCACGAGACCGCTCGACCACGTGGTCTTCGCTCTCGCTTCCGCGTGAACAAGCGTCGCCGGAGACGAAGACGGAGTTCGCCGTGACTTTAAACCGCTGCAACTCGCGAGCGAATTGACGAAGACGCGTGCAGTAAAATGCAATCTCCTCGGCGCGCGATCCCGCATGCATACATGACACTCTTTCACCGTCGATTCGCAGGATTGCGCGGGTAGACGTCGCGATAAATGTCGTCTCGACATGCCTGCACTACACGTCGCGTTTTCTGTTGCTTGACGGGACTATCTAAATTCCCTACTGTGTTTTATCGCAACAATAGAAAATTGTTGCGATAAAAGTGGTCAAAACGAGAGAGAATAATCAGAAAGAGAGAGAGAGAGAGAGAGAGAGAGAGAGAGAGTAAATTGCAAAATAAAATATTGATCTCTTTCGCGTGAGTTCTTTCAGCCAATTAAATTTTTAATTGTTATTCTAAAATATTATGTACGAAAATATATATTTATATATCCTCAGTTTGAAATATTCACACGACATTACGCACGATATCATTCACATGATATTATACGTAGTTTGATGTTAAGTTGCAAAATATGTGTCAGAGCTCGAATATATTTCGAAGTTTCGTTTATATTACGATACTGCCGAGCGGATAATTTTGTTGCATTTTGGATATGTCTCAAAATATAGAAAATTCCTAATATATCGCAGTGATATTAATATTGTTATTTAGAATATATTCGATTTCACGTATCTGACGTGGAACTAATAATTACGAGATTAGTCAATGGATAAATAAAACACCCGAGAATATTACTACACGGTTATCTACGCTTTATCTTCGACCAATTTTCACTCAAGTTAAATTAAACCTGCACGCGTATAGCCAGAATCTACGGAAGCTTGACAACAAAGCGGTCAGACAGGCGTACATGTATTTGACCAGTACCGATTAGCTGAAGTTAAAGCCGCAGCGTGTACAGTGTCTCGCGGAACTCGCTAGGGATATCCAGCTTAGTGTATCGCGCTTGTTCAACGCCACCGCGTCTGTTTGCGAGTAAAACATTCGTTCTCAGCGATTACTTCGATCGTTGATCAACGGATATCCCGGGCGAGTGTCGAAAGATTCACGACGGCGAATGGAGTAAGTCCATAACGCGCTCGGCTCGTCTCGTGTAAATGTAACATCATACTTTAAGCAAGCTTTGTGAATCGCAAATTCGCTCAGCTTTGACTCCGAAGCAGTCGATTGTCATTTAATTACTGTTCCGACGCTGAAGACAAATTGCGATAAATACGTGCTCGAGATACGTATATCATTTTATCTCCTCGTGAAGTAAAACCGATTAATATTATTCAAACACACATCGAGGCACTCGTGTATTTTGCACAGGAATATATTTAACGCGTTAATGATTTGACTGGAATATTCCTTTCCTGTATTTTCCGACGTTAAAAGTCATGCTCCTCGTCACATATTCCTCGTTGAAATTTCAAAGCATGTTACCGGTACAAGTACAAAGTTATCATGAGTTGCCTTCGTTTATTTTTCATACGTTCGAAGTATTTCGTGCTATTTCCCGTGCGTTTATGACATGAATAAAAGAATGAACAGGGTGCGTCTCGATACGTACGGAAGAACCGCAACGACACATACAAGCGCGCGCGCGCACACACAGTTTGATACGGCAGCTTTAAATGCGCTACTCCGTAACACCCCACGCTGCGCATTTCTCGTCGATTGTTCACACCTGCGGTTTTCGCTCTTTTCCATCCTTTCCATCAGGTTTCTCGGGGTGCGCGTGCACTCTCTCCGACGAGTCGCGACGATTTTTCAATTGCCCAGTAAAATGCTCGCCAATATTCCCAGAATATATAGAAACCTATGGAACCGGTATTCCTCTTGCCAGGAAAAGACTATACCCCACGTGGTTTTTTGGTTCTCGCAAACCTCGCGATGTGTTCGACGGGACGAGCGATATGGATCTTTTATGACGTACTATTCCGCTGAAATCGAGGCAAATTTCGCCCTATCTTTCTCGATAACGCGCCAGAGAAATGCGCGCTGCAGAGCTTGCACACAAGTACATATCGCGCACGTACGTGTGTGAGCGCGTGTTTTCTCGGATTCGCTGAAAGTATAAGAGAAAACGGCGTCTTATTTCGAGAACACTAT